GAGCTGTCTCAGATTTGCACGACGGCGATGTGGTGGCGAAAATCCCCAAGGAGAGCTGCTTGACGATTAAAACGTGTGGTGCTCGGCAAATGATTGAGGAAGCTGAGCTTGACGGCTACTTAGGCCTGGCCGTAGCTCTCATGTATGAGCGGAGTCTCGGTCCCCTCTCCTCCTGGTATGGTTATCTTCAGCTTCTCCCCCATTCGGAGCCTATCCCTTTGCTTTGGCCTCTCTCTGATATTAACTCTCTTCTTGCTGGCACAGAGCTCCACAAGGTATTCTTTCCAATTTCTCTTTGTAAAATTTCTCTATTTCTTGTATGTGCATTCATGATAAACTTGATTGGCATTATTTTACCTTGCTACTTAGTGTAAGTTTCAAATGGTTAGTTGAAAAGATATTTTCTTAAACTTTTTAGTAACTGTAAGCTCCTAGACTTCTAGTAATTGAAAATTTCTTAATTGAAAAAAAGATTTAAGGTGTCTACATGACTAATGAATTTTTGAATGTTGAATGATTGAAAGCTCACAATGAAATCTACAAGAAACTAGCCCAAGTATAACCTGTAGCCTAAGTATGCTACAGAAAACTCGCATTACTCATGGAATATGCAGTTCGCCGGATGATACACTAGTTTCAATAGTGGAACATCGTGATAGTGTTTTAGTCATCATAGGGAGAGCAAGTGTGTTTAGTTTAAGACTTGTAAGGTGCATGCTAAACTCTTACTCAGGCCCTTAAGTTCCACAACTGTTTGGTCATTTTCTCAAGGCTCTATTTATGTCAGTTTTCTGAATGTGACCGTGCTGGTATTCTTGAAGGCAGATTATTATAGAAGACAAGATTCTAATCCACGAGGACTGGAAAGAGTGCATCCAACCTCTTTTGGCCAATTCTACCTTGGGACTTAACCCAGAACATTTTGGTATTGAAGAATATTTTGCTGCAAAAAGTCTTATTGCTTCCCGGTCATTTCAAATTGATGATTACCATGGATTTGGGATGGTTCCCCTTGCAGACCTGTAAGTTTCATTGTTTACTGATGTTTCTTGACTGACTCCGTATAGGATACTTATCTTCTACATGCATATTCTTCTAACATCCATTCTATTCTTCATACTCCCTCCGTCCCTTAAAACTTTGCCAAATTTGACCGGCACGAGGATTAATAAAGTAAAAACTGTGTGGTTGAGGATTGTGCAGAGGAGAGAGAATTAAACCACAAATTCTTTACTTAAAAGGGAAAGTGGCAAAGTTAGTGGGACGTCCAAGAAAGGAAAGTTGGCAATGTTTTAAGGGACAGAGGGAGTATTTTTTAAATTCAAATGGGATTTATCTCCTAATATGCTGGATAAATTCTTGAATCATTTTGTTATCTGTCTTGCTAAAACTAAAATAGTTCTCAAGTGCAAATTTACCCTACTTGACTATAGATTTCGTTATTTGTTAGTTTCACTAAACTAGATGTAAGTGTGCAACATTTTTTGGCAAGGTACATGAAAAACTAGATGGGGTTGATCAAACGTGATTTCTTCTATAGGTGAAAAAATTGTTTGTAACATAACTTTTTTAGTGACAAAGGGATTACTTTTTATATTCTTATGATGTCTCATTAATTTGAGTTCTAATCTTTGATACCACATATCCTGATAGGTCATTGTGTATTGATTAATTAATATAATACAAAAGTTAACATGATTCCAAGTTTCCAACCCATCTGAATGTGTGGTACACAATTGGAATGGGAAAAGCATTATAATTTACAGACGAGTTCAATTCCCATTAGTTTTTGGTACAAACCATTCTATATAGTGAATTATTATGTCTCATGTTTACTTCATTTGTTGGTTTAATTGTACTTTTTCCTACTACTACCTGCAAAACCATAATCATTCCCTTTCTTTGTACTGGGTCCGTTCAATTTCTTGACCTTTCTATGTTTCAGCAGCCTTTTCATGATTCAATTCTACCATTTTGCATGTGAATCAAAAGCACTTCATTAGTTCATTATTCTGAAACCGCTTTTTATCTGATACGATGCACCACTGAAGTATTGGCTAGAAGAGTATAAAATATGGAGTATATGATTGATAATACTTATAACTATATTATTTTTCGAATTTGCTTTATTGATTTTCCTGGTACAACTTTGTATCTATGTATTTGGTAAGCAATTATTCAATAATTCTGTGTTTAAAAATGTAATCTAATCCGCAAAACTCACCTCCCTTCATATTTTCCGTCATTCTGGTGTCTAATTGAGTTCAGAAGTCAAAATATTCTTGTGTGATGAGGGCCCATTTGGTCCATATCCCCACTGTTCTTATTTAATAAGTATAAAATTCCGTTATTCAAATCCATAATTTTATACTCTAGGTGCTATTAAAAGAAATTAGACCTGTGCTCATTGCAATGTCTGGTGTCTTCTGCCCTTGATCAAAAGCTTTATTCTGCAGTTTTAATCACAAGACTGGTGATGAGGACGTGCACTTCACATCCATATCCACCTACTCTGATTCAGATGGTGATGTGAATGGTAAGAATAGTAACATTGAGTACCAACATAATAGCAACCACGAACCAGCTAACCAGAATCTATATTCAGAGGTAGATTCTTTGGGTGAGAGTGACTTAGATTCCTCTTCAATACAAGGGGATGATCCTTCAGCTCTAGAAATGATCATGGTGAAAAATGTGAAAGCTGGAGAAGAGGTTTGTGATGAGTTGTTGTGCTACATCTAGTTGAATTATGCTTTTTTTGTAGATATTTTTCATAGGTGACATTAGTCACACACTGACCCTCAATAGATACAGGAATTGCAGTATAAAATGAAAGTTTAAAGTGAAATAAATAACCGCTGTCACCCAAAAAAATGATTTAATGCAAATTAACAATTATATCGGATAGATTTGATATTGTCCTCTAATATTGTATAATTTTGATGTATAACTTTTAGCATCTTCCTAATATTACTTTATTTTAGGTATTCAATACATATGGATCCTTAGGTAGTGCTGCATTGCTGCATAGGTATGGATTCACTGAGCCAGACAATCCCTATGATATTTTAAACATAGACTTCGAATTGGTGCTTCAGTGGAGCTCTTCTCAGTTCTCATATCGCCACACTAGGAGGAGGGTTTCACTGTGGAGAAAGCTGACTTGTTCTGGATGTGTCAGTCAAGACGCTGAATATTTTGAAATCACATTCCACGGTGAACCACAAATTGAGTTAATAATTTTGATTTACATAATGTCGATGTCAGATGAAGAATATGGAGAAGCCGATCTTGCTGTAACGGTCATGGGTGGTGATGTCAGGAAATCCTGGCAACTATTTTTATCAAACAATGGAGTTTCATTTGAAAATGGATTAGAATTTGGGAGGAATTCATTGCTCAGAGAACGCATTCACATGGCTCTCTTGTCACTAGCAGATGCCCGGGAGAGTTTATATGGTTCAAAGTCTCTCAGAATTGACATTGATAATCTGAATAGGAGCTCTCAGTTGACCGAGCCTAAACTGTATCATTCATTGATGCTACGTATAAGCGAGAGGAAGATCCTTCAAAAGTTAAGAAGTTATGCTTCTACACTGCAGATAACCAAGAAAGGTGCAAAAAGAAAAGGTAATAAAGATGTGTGTAGAATCAAGTGACCCGTTATTGACTGGGGGAGGTGTATGAGCTCTCCAGAGAAGGTGAACTTTCAAATTTTGATTTTGACGAGTTCAGATTTTGAAATTTTTATTATATGACTTTACTGAATCCCTTTTTAATTTTTTATGATCTTTCGATCTCAACCGTATAAATGTAACTTTAATGATGTGTCCCATATTAAAAATGGACCATCTTCACTATCCTTGTCAGGTGATTGGAATTTAGGGAGTGTGATTGAATTTATTGATCAGATGCAAACACGCAAAATTATAGGTCTTCCTACTGAAATCAGCTAAAAACCAAACAAAGAGAAAGTTTTTAGTGAAAAGCCGAGAACCATAAGACTTGATAACTTTTACTCGATTAGGGCGGCACATCACGGGAGTTGTGGAGGTTGGTTATACTCTGTTAGTCTATTGGTTTGATTGGTGTTGATTGGTGTTGGGATGTTTTTATTTGGACTGTTTTTAGTTCCAGCCCAGATCAAACCAGATCAGAACATATCAAATTAGATCAGATCAATTCATACCAGACCAGATCATAAAATTTCAGTCCAAGTAAAAACATCCATAGATGTTGAAAATTGAGTTTGTTTTGTTTCTTTTGTATCCAATGGCAACTTTATCGTAAGCTATGGCAGCTTTCTCAGCCATCTCAAATGTGTCGAGCCACACCGTAATTGCTTTGTTTGGGTCATGGACTTGAGTCACCCATTTTCCCGCGGCCTTCGTCTCACTCCTCATAACCGGCCATTTCCATTAGTATCATTCATTTCTTGTGTGGAGTTCGGCATTATTGCTCCGTAACAACTCCCATTGGAATCTACACAATATATATTTTAGTAGAAGAAACAATTAATTTCTGTAAAAATTGATGGTTTAGGAATAAAATACATCTGTCCCATTTTTATGTTAAATAATAAAAAACTCAGTCTTCAACACTGTGTACAAATATATACACATAAGCTAAACAATTATATAGTACGGAGTATATGTTAACATAATAAGCTTTGACCCCCATTAATTTTTTCCATAAGCTATATCAAATTTCTTGCTCTGTCACTATCTATAAAATATAAATGAATGATCGGCTCAGACCACAAAGCCAAAGTAGTGTTCACCTTTTAAATGACACTCGATTGTTGTTCCTGTCACCCTGTATTCCTGTGAATGCCCCTTTACGCAATTACGGTGTGGCTTGAAACATTTGAGACGACCGAGGAAGCTGCCATCGATTATGATAAAGCTGCCATTGAATACAAATGAAACAAAGCCAAACTCAATTTTCCACATCTCTAGATCATCTCTGGATACAGAGTTGTTGAAAATTGAGTTTGTTTTGTTTCCTTTGTATTCAATGGCAGCTTTATCGTAAGTTATGGCAGCTTCCTCGACCGTCTCAAATGTATTGAGCCACACCGCAATTGCTTTGTTTGGGTCGTGGACTTCGGACCTTCGATCACCCATTTTCAATTCTCGCGGCCTCCATCTCACTCCTCAAAATAGGTCCTTTCCATTACTACCATTCAATTCTTGTGTGGAGTTCGGCATATTGTTCCGCAACAACTCTCTTTGAAATATACACAATATATATTTTAGTAGAAGCAACAATTGATTTCTTTAAAAACTGATGGGTTAGAAATAAAATACTACATCGGTCCTATTTTATGTTAAATAATTAAATACTATGTCTTCACCACTGTTAGGGGTGGACCGGTTCCGGTTCGGGCCCAGTTAGGGCCTGGGCCCGGCCGGGCCTCGGTTCAGAAAAATGATGCCCGAGCCCGAACCGGTGGTGGGCGGTTCCGGGTCTGGTTCCGGGCCAGACCGGGCCGGGTCGGGCCACCCGGATTTTTAATTTTTTTTTTCTTCTTCTCTTATTTAACCCCCTACCCCTCCCTCTCTACCCCAAACCACCCCAAACCACCTCAAATGGCCCAAAATACCTAATCCAACCCAAAACTTAAAAAAATTTCCAAAAAAAAAAAATAAATTCCGGCCGGGCCGGGCCGGTTCACTAAACTGGAGGCCCGGGCCCGGACCGCTATACCACCGGGCCGGGAGGCCCGAACCGGGCACGAACCGGTTCACCGGGCCGGTCCGGGCCCGCACAGTAGCGGGCCGGTCCGGTTCCGGGCCGGTTGGCCCGGCCCGAATCCATCCCTAACCACTGTGTACAAATATATACACATAAACTAAATAATTACATAGTACGTAGTATATGTTAAGATATTAAGATTTGACCCCTATTAATTTTTTCCATAAGTTATATCAAATTTCTTGTTTCGCCGCTATCTATAAAATATAAATGAATGATCAGCTCAAACCAAAATCTAAGCCAAAATAGTGTTCACCTTTTAAATGACACTCAATTGTTATTCCTGTGAGTTCACCTTTAAGCATTTAAGGTGTGGCTCAGCACGTTTGAGACGGCTGAGGAAGCTTCCATAGCTTACGATAAAGCTGTCATTGGATTTACAAGCAATAAAGCCAAACTTAATTTCCCACAGATCGTGATCAAACATATAATATATAATCTATCACCAAATGCTTTTTTCCATCAAAGATACGGTACGCGTATTAATCGCGTTTTAAACGCGTTTTAGCTAACTAGGCTCCTAAATAATAAGACTGCTACAGAACGTGCTTATACTCGTCTTTCTTTCTCTAGGGCTTGACCGCCGCTAGGGTTCGTCTTCGTCCGTTATCGTCTCTGCGATGAGGAACGGTTGCCGTCGACCGTCACCTTGGCTTAGGATTGGAGGTTTGCGACACAGGTTAGTCAGAAGAGTGTTTTATTGGTATTGTTTGTTCGTCGGTTTCATCGAAGAAGAAGAGTCTGGCGCCGAGACTTTCTGCATGGAGAAGATCGCCGATCTGTACCTTTAGATGAGCGTCGAGGGGGAGGAGGAGGTGGAGATGGATTGTGACGAGGTTGACACCGAAGAGGTTTCCAGGGAGGAGGTTCGGCCAGGTTTCCCCGTTGTGGGTGCGCTGATAACGGACAGGAAGATTAATTTCTCAGCTTTCAAAGAGATGATGGCTTCACTATGGAGGCCGGGGAGGGGCGTGGAGATCAAGGAAATCGATGATAAGAGGTATATCTTTACCTCTGTTCTAAAAATCATTCTAGGCGTCCGACTAGTCCCCACCTAGGCACTAAGCGGTGGCCGAACGCCCCGATTTTTGTCTAGGCACTCTGACTAATTGGTTTGCCGTCTAGGTGAATTAGTCGGCCGTCTATCTATGGCGCCTAGTTGCCCGCCTAGAGCGCCTAATCGGCCACCTACGCGTCTAGATTCGCTGAACATTACTTTACTTTTTAATTTTAATTTTCCAAGTGATATACGTACTTTAGCTTTATCCATGGATATAAAGAAATGAAGTTGTAAATTAAGATAAAGCTATATATGTTTGTATATATACCTGAATTTTATCATTATTTATATTTATAACTTAATGAAGTTAAGTGATTAGTTATCATATACTACGTATAATTAAATGTGATGATTTTATCATTCATGTTTGTTAATGTATATGTATATATGTATTTTATAAACACAAAAATACAATATTATTTATCATATTTATGCAAAAATATACATAAAAATGCAATTTTTATGTCTCCGACTAGTCCCCGACTAGTCCCCGACTAGGCGTCCGCCTAGCCGCCTAGGCGCTGGGCTGGCGCCCGACTAGCGCCTAGCGCATTTTAGAACATTGATCTTTACTTTTAATCACCCAATTGATATGAAACTTGTTCTTGATGGGGGGGCCTTGGCAGTTTGAGAGGGATTTACTGATTGTGAAAGAAATTAAACCTACTGATATTCCACATAAGATCTGTCTGAATGAGGAATAATTTTGGGTGCGTGTTCACAATGTTCTTTATTTCTTAATGAATTTAGGCACTGCAAGAAGAGTGGGTAATTTTCTGGGTAGGTTCATTAGCTATGATAAAAATCAGTTTGGAGAAAAGTGGGAGTCCTACCTGTGTGACAGGGTTTGCATGAATGTGGAAAAACCTCTGAAAAAGGGCACAACTCTGAAAAAAGAAGGTATTGGGTATTGGGTGGATTTTCAATATGAGAAGCTGCCTAATTTTTGCTTTATATGTGGCGGTATTGGTCACTCGGAAAAATTTTGTCCGTTAGTGTATGAGGAAGGGTTAGTTTTGGAAAAAAAAGGTTTGATGTGTCGCTTAGGGTAGGGAGTGGGGTGAAGACTAGTCCTACAGAAAAGAATAAATGGCTGGTCGGAGAAGGCTTAAACTCGGGCAGGAATTCGCAAGATTGGGAGAATCGGGGGTCTAATGGAGGAGCGAAGGGTGAGAAGGAAGACACGGCGATCTCGAGTAGTAGCTCTTCCAAGAAAGTGGTCCTGAAACATAATGAGGAATCAACAGGGGAACAGAAGCGCAGACGCATCTGGGAGGCGGGGGAAGAGCAGCACCAGGGGGTGAGATGGCACTGGACGGAACAAAAAATGGAGAGGAGATGAGCTTAGAGGGGTAAGCTTGTCAGCGGTTTGGGTTCGGAAGGGGGATTCAGGGTGGTGCTTTCTGGTGTTCGCTGGAAGACTCAGTGCCGACCTTTATTTTATTATTTTTATATCTTTAGACTATTTAATGTTTTCTGGTTTTGTTCTATTCTTTATTTCCAATTGTAAGATGATGATTTGGAGTTTGGATGTGGGTGATGATTTAACTGCGATTACCGTCATTTGCTCAATTGTGCCCATAAAAGGATCAGCGAGTTATATTACCGAGGTGATTAACTCTGAGTCTGGTTCGATGGACAACGGTTTTCATAAGTTTTATTGTCGATTTACCTGCTTCCCGAATGTTATGGTATCCATGTAAGCCGCTTTCATCCAAAAAAACTATCACCAAATACATTTTCCACACATGACTTTTATTTTCTTTTCTAATGAAGATGATAAAAATTGATACTTGGATCTTTTTAGAAGGACTTGCTCAAATCGGATCAAAACATAATTTTTTGATAATAGCACCCACTAGGTTTTTTACTTTCTTCTAAACCTATTATTGTATATGTTCATGATGATGTCAATATCCTTGATTGGGATGAGATTTAGACAGCGACATCCTCTTTGGGAGATGATGCCTTCCGACCACAACGTATTTGGCAGTATCTATTAGTTCAAAATGTCATAAGTCTATACGGAGTATTATGGAGTGATTATGATGAGTAATAAGATATTATACTCTAATACTCTGTATATTTCAATACATACGCTGTGTGGGGCACGGCACCAAGAACCGGTAGGGTGCTAGTGGTGGTAGCAGCTTCGGAATCCTTTGGTTTTCCGGTGCACCTGCAGTAACTGCATCGGTTATTTCTATCCTCGACATATTACAAAAGCAATTATGTATCAATGTAACATTAAAAAGAATGACACCTCATCTCTGATGGCCCTCCAACTTCGACCAGACAGTTAACTAGAAGGATGTAAATTGGAATTATGTATCATTCGAGATTTCCAGGCAAACAGGTAGATCAAAGCTTACGTGCAATTACCGCACGGGCATGTGTCTCCGCAAGGGCAGTCAGGGTTGGGCGTGCCATTTTTCCCTTATAACCCAAGCGAATAATAATTGTTTCTTATTTTTTTAGAAGGAAAAAAAAACAATATAAATAAAATGAATCGTAATGCCCAACCCAAAGTATACAAAACACCCCTCCCAATCTAAAAATTTAACCCTCAGATAAATCTTTATAGCCCCGCTCGTGTTTGAGATCTAGTTCTCATAAGATGCGATCGTTGATTCCTCTTCTTATACATTCTTTTCTGAGTGTTCAAATTTTGAGTGGGTAGACAATTTTCAGGGAGTTTAATGCACCAAAGCCCCTCGTGAAATATAAATTCGGCGCATTAGCCCCCTGTGATTTAAAAAATGTGTCAAACATCCCTGTGTTATAATTAATCATGCGCAAAATCTCCTTCAAGAACAAATTTTACAATTTTGAAATTGAATATGCAAGTAACTTTGTCAAAATTTCTAAATCATATAAAAAACTAATCATTTTTCATTTTTTTGGAAATTAAATTTGTTCTTGGAGGGGGTTTGGCGCATGATTAATTATAACTCGGGGACGCATTATGGGGAAATTATGGGGGGGACGCATTTTTTAAATCACAGAGGGCTAATGCGCCGAATTTATATTTCACGAGGGAGTTTGGTGTATTAAACCCATTTTTCAGGCGTAACCAGAAGAGCTTTTTGACAAATAACCTCATTTGTATCTGAGTCCCAAAGGTCCTCCAATGTCGAAATAGGAACCCTTTTTTCGTTTTCTGAGACATGACCAAGAAATTCATCCCCCGAGATTATGGAGTTCGGACTGTCATAAACTTTCTCAAAGTCAAAAGTTTCAGAAAGGTTACCTGAAAAAACCGATTCTGGTTGAGCATGTCTACTTCTTGAACCATCACCTGAATTTTGTTTTTGCTCTGAATCACTCTCTATTTTAGAAGATATCTCATCATTACTAGGTCCCAATGTCAAAGTACTCAGAGTTGAGGTAAGAAGCCTCTAAAATTCATAAATGAGATAATGGGAAAGTGAATCCACCCCATTTGTCAAAGTGACATGAAAGAAATCCTTGAGTTTAGCAAATTCGTCAGAGATTTGCTCAAAGTTGTCGACAACCAAATCCAAACAATGATCTTCAAAATGCTCAATATCAGCTTGAAATAATGTACCCGAAATGGAGAGCTCAGTTTCAAAGGAATGAGGATAATCCCCATCAAAGGGTAAAAATCCAAATTCATTTTAGAAATCCTCATATCCGTAACAGCCTCAACTGAAACTTGCTCAATTGCTAATTTTTTGGAAGCAATTGAGTTCATCAAAGTAACTGCTTTGGTGATCCCAGAAAGAAAAAGATTAATTCCCTGTCTATTTTGTCCTTCTGGAATAAATAGAGAATCATATCCCCTCTCAATGATTCTCACAAATCCTCCAAAAAAAATAGCATCATTCAAAATAGTAAGGGAATTATGCACCTCCAACCTAGTACAAAATTTATTACCTGAAAAGATCTTAAGTATGGAGTCCTTCAACCATTTAACCCTAGTAATATCAAGATCGGGATAAGGGTCAGTTTGGTCCTCGAAGTTGCAAAAAAGGAGTCAAATAAGTCCTTATATAAAAGATTCTGTCTGGAAGTGCCATTTGAGATGGCTCCCAGTAGAATTTTTTGATGAAATTTTTTGAGCATCTTATTCATTAAGTCTAGTTTACTCATATCAAATTTTAGATAAAAATGCAATCGGGAAGACATTCAAATGAATTCTTGAAGATAATTGTACCGTTAAAAGCGCAGTTATCTTCAAGAATTCATTTGAATGTCTTCCCGATTGAATTTTTAGCTGAAATTTGGTATGAGTAAACTAGACTTAATGAATAAGATGCTCAATAAATTTTATCAAAAAATTCCACTGGGAGCCACCTCAAATGGCACGTCCGGACAGAATCTTCCATATAAGGACTTATTTGACACCTTTTTTGCAACTTCGAGAACCAAACTGACTCTTTACTCTATCAAAATCTATAGCAGAAGATCTAGTAATAATTGTTTCTTATTATTGTACAAGTATCTAAATAAATCCCACAACAGTTGCAATTTTTACATCTGCTGGACACCCGTATTTATATACCTTTACCTCTCATACATCGACCACCTTTTGAAATCCGGGACCAGTACGCAGGGACGGAGCCAGCGATTCAGTTCAGTGGTGTCAAAACTTTTTAAACTACTATTTCTATGACACGATATTAAAACAAACTTATTAATAATCACACGTCGTCTACAGTTTTTGAGTCAATTTTCAAGTTTTAAAATAGAGAAAATAACTTTACGTGATACTATCACGCCCCGGACCTATCCGGACACGTCGACAATCCGCCGTACAGTATGAATAGTCAACCGCAATCCAACACATCCATACTATACAAGGCGTCTGTAATATCATTCACAATAGTACATCCGTAAACAAACATAATGTAAAAATATCCATTCAAAGCAGCGGAAACATTCAATACAAGTGTTCATGCCACACCTTGGCAAACATGGGCATACAAGCCCCCCAAATAAATATTTAAAAATAATATCCATGAGCATTAATTAAATAGTTTGTAAAATGGAAACGGAGGAAGCACGAACCACGTCTTCTTCTCCTGAATTCTCTTGGAGCAACGGCGATGGTAGTAACCTTCAAGTTCTACCTGAAACTGTGAGGTGGCCTCCCCCGTGAAGGGGAGGTCAGTACTTGGAAGCATTTTGACAAGTACAATGACAACTATACTAAGTATAATCAAAGTTTCAATTTCCAAGACCCTCAATCTAAGATGTTATTCATTTGTAATTAACTCATGTTCTCCATGCTAGAGCTCGGCTCATAGTCATATCAATTTGTGCTAGAGCTCGGCTCATAGTCACCCTGCGTTTGCTAGAGCTCGGCTAATAGTCATACTAATTTGTGCTAGAGCTCGGCTCATAATCACCCTACGTTTGCTAGAGCTCGGCTCATAGTCATACTAATTTGTGCTAGAGCTCGGCTCATAGTCACCCTACGTTTGCTAGAGCTCGGCTCATAGTCATACTATCACGTGCTAGAGCTCGGCTCATAGTCACGTCAACTAATCCCTAAACCACTTCTTAGTCTAGGTTCCAACCATTTTGAGTAACCCTTAAGGCCTACTCCAAATGTAACTTGAGTTCATAGAGTCCACCTTAAACATATCCTTTAAGGTTACCTAACTCCAATATTTTGGGATTAGCTCCCAAAATCTATTGAACTAACATTCCCGACTAGTATTTCTATACTAGTCATTTCACCTTAATAAACCGATGCAAATTCATAATAATTTGGATATTTCGATTTAATTCCACATTCAAGTATAACTTGGCTCTAATATCAAAATATCACTTTTATCCTTCCATGACTTCCTTACATGAGGTAAAAGTATATTTATCACAATTTAATTTATAATTTACACAACTACTATACCATTGTATTCATAACACATAATCATACACAATTTATTCATAAATTTGTATATTATGCATTTTTGCTTATAAACAATAATAATCTCATTTAGGCATTTTTATTAAAAATAAATCATGCCAAACACATATACTTCATTTAGGTAATCTTATGAAATTAACCCAATAATTATAAGCAATATAGTCGGTCATCCTCACCTTAAGTGAGCTTAAGCGTGTTCTACGCTCCCCGATCGAACTTTGACTAATTCCGGTGAACTTTGACCAACTCCGGCGAACTTTGACCAACTCCGGCGAAACTCCGGCGAAGCTCGAAAATGCTCTAATCAAGTTCCTAACAAGGTTTTAACATCATAAAACCTTAATCAAAACAAATAACCTTTAAAAGGTTATTTTCCGGTGAACTTGTCGGTTTGGCTTCTAAGTCCGTTTTTGGACTTAGAACCACTCTCCAACCTATTATTCCACACTTTAATTATGTAGAACAACCCTCAAGGTCCTTCATATGATATATATCACATATGATAGAAGAATAAATAAAGGAAAAGTTAATATAAGGTTATTACCTTAATCTTTCTCACTTTTCCTAGCTTTTTCTCCCTTTAATCTTTCCCCTTGGACTTCTATTGCTTGAGCTCTCTTCAAGGATGGGAAAAGGAGGATGGGGATTTTCTTTTCTTGCTGGGGTTGGTGCTGGCCGAGAGGAATCAGGGAGAGGGGTGAGGAGGTGTTCTTTTGTTTGATGCCAATCCCTTCACCTCAACATCATCCCCCCATGATCCCCTATACTACCAGCCGGCCAAGGCCTTGAAAAATGGGGCTAAATTCGTGGGTTGGCCCCCACCCATGTGGGAGGTCAACCCTGTTTGTCCAGAAGTGTATAATCGGTCCCAAAAGTTGTGTTTTTCGGACTGTTTTAAATATATTTTATTTTATCGGGTCAAATAAAATATATTATGTATTCTCAACCATTACGACCCTTATAGTGAATATACATTCCCCAACTTTAATTTATAGGTCTCCGAAATCCAATTTTGGCCTATTATCCGTTAAATTACCAATACCGGTAATTGAGCCGCTTTTGACCAATCGGTCCACATTATGTCATTGCTTTGGACCAAATAAATTATCCCCCTCTATATAAATATTATTTCGACCAAGTTGAATAAAATATACGGTCTCGGGAATATCGGGCGGCCCCGCTCCCAGTGTGGGTCCCGCGTGCGAATTTACTATTCACGCAAAAGAAATATTAAAAATTCACAACTTCGTATACTCATTAACCATTCCGTAAGGTTCAATACATTATACTCTTAAAAATAAATACATTTGGGGACGGTGTTACAGATACTCCTGCTAAGATTGTCTCATCTTTCCCATTCGGTCTATCCCACTAAGATTATCTTATATCAAATTATGTAAAATTTGTTTGATTCTAAATTATTTTTACTGTATTCTTACACTATCAATTCAATATCAATCATAGAATTCACTTTTCTTAATAACTGCAACACCTCCTCATGTTCTAATGTTAGTGTCAAATATTACTAACAGTATCAACCGTGAAGGTAGTGTCAATTATCACCAATAATAATAATAATACATATCAATTAAATAGTTATTTCATATCCCAACCACTCAAATACATAATAAAAATGATACAAAGTCATTTTCTGTTTCAAATTCAACCATTTAAATCATCAAAAATTTATTTTGAAGCATCAAAATAAAGCTTATTTGATGGTCAAATATGATGCTTTTATAGGTGCAATGACACGGTTTGATATAAAAAATTGCTCTGTATTATACGTAGTATATACTATGTATATATTTGACTTAAATTGCAAAATATTTCTGAAATAAACTTATTTACAAAAATATCACTAAAAGTCATTATGATATAGTGTGATTATATGTGATAGATATGTAATTATTTCATATATATTTATACTTTGACCCTCGTTGCATTCATAGAGATGGTGTTAAATTAATTTTTAGAATAGAATACCTTTAATTTATATATAATTACCAAAAATATTTGAGTGGTGTCAATTGGCAACATTTCATTTATATTGGTGGTGTCAAATTAGTTTTTAGAAAATTTACATCTATATATATATATATATATATATATATATATATATATATATATATAAAACTAAAAAAAAATTAGTGGTGTCAATTGACACCATATCCATACCTGTGGCTCCGTCCCTGCCAGTACGGCCCTCACAATTCATTTAGTGCACCTCTTTTTCTACCCTAAAATGTGGGATGCAATTTTGCTAATGGGTGATCTCATGTAGTATAACAAATTAGCAATTCATTTTTTTGTAATTGTTATAACATTTTACTTATGGTGCGATTTAAAAAATATATATAGAAAAATTCACATGAATTGTTCCAACTTTTAGCCCTCATTGTGGATGGACACTCTATTGTTGCCTAGTTGTCACCTTAGATTAATGGTAATTAATGCTATCCTCCACTTGCCTACAAAACAAAAAGAAAATCATGGGAACCCTTTAACCCTTTATAAAACTTGTGTAATAAACACGCTAGTGAAATAAACATGAAGAGAAAAATTTGTGTTTGATACTTGAACAACTGAACTTGTTTCCGGGCAGAGTAAATAGTACATTAACTTCTCACAGACTTCAAACGGTCACGTATAAGTTTGATTGTCCAACTAGGCAACAATAGAGTTTCCATCCACAGATACACTTTGATACTTTCTTAAGACAGTTGCTAGGAGTTCCAACTTCTAAGTCTTTCTGTTGGGTTACTCAATCTTGGCCTGGTTTACTGTGTATTTTTGGGCTAGACCAGCCCGCACATGGTTATGTACCAACTTGCATGGCTTTGGGCTCAATTGACTTCCTAGTTGTCTTGGCCATTATTTCTCGTGGAAATTACCCAAACGATCCACTTTCGTATGCCCTATATCATTTATAGCTCACCTGTATTTTCTTTTCATTTTTAAACTTTTAAGTTTT